ATATATATATATAATCCCCATAATGTTCTAGGTACTTTGCTGACAGTAATTCTCATAATGCAATAAGATAATATTTTGTGTATTCATTTTCTAGATGAACCAAATGAGTTTTAGAGGGGATCTTACTTAGGCCCTCAGCTAAAAGGCAACACAAAATACATTTTCTATTTGTCATCATGTTCATTATTCAAAACAATCATTAATGTCTGCGAAAACACTTCTAAGGCTTACAAAATATTTGACAATCTATCTCATGTGAAATTTATTAGCACTCTGCCAGCTGCTGCTACCGCCAGCAGGGGCCTTGAATTCGGGAAGCCTTGTGAGATGTCTGGGAGCCCAGGACCTCAGTCTCTTCCTGCTACTGTGATCCTGGGGAGATGCCTTGAACTTGGGAAGATTCAGTGAGCTGTCTGGGTATCCAACGGCCAACATATTAAACAGACAAACATTGAAAGCTTTAACTTTAAAATCAGGAATAAGACAAAAATGTGCACTGTCACCAATCCCATTCATTATAGTTCTGGAAATATTAGCCAGAGCAATTAGAGAAGGAGAGAAATAAAAGCAATAAGAATAGGAAAGGAAAAAGTGAAATTATCATTATTCACAGATGACATGATACTCTACATAGATGACACCCCAAAACTCCACCAAAAGGCTTATAGATTTAATAACCAAAGTTAGTAGTGTATATGGATACAAAGTCACCACTCAAAAATCAACAACATTCCTGTACATGAACAGAGTGACTGAGAGAGAAATCAGGGAAACCATACCTTTCATAACAGCATCTTAAAAAATGAAATACTTAGGAACCAATCTAACAAAAGAAGTAAAAATCTATACAGTGAAAATTATAGTACTCTGAAAAAAGAGATCAAAGAAGATTTCAGAAAATATAAAGATATCCCTTGCTTGTGGGTAGGAAGAACCAACATTGTAAAAATGGCCATCCTGCCAAAATTGTTGTACATATTCAATACAATCCCAATTAAAATATCATTATTATACCCCACAGATCTAGAAAAAGCATTCCTAAACTTCATCTGGGACCAGAAGAGGCCTAGAATAGCAAAAGCAATCCAGAGTAACAAAAGAAAGGCTCCATCACAATCCCTGACTTGAAATTATACTACAAAGCAACTGTGATAAAATCAGCATGGTACTGGCAAAAAAACAGACCTGAGGATCAGTGGAACAGATTAGAAGATACAGATACAACTCCAAACACACTCAGCCACCCTATATTTGACAAAGGGGCCAAACATGTTCACTGAAAGGAACATAGCCTCTTTAATAAATTGTGCTGGAAAAACTGGCTTTCCACATGCTGAAGACTAAAACTAGACCCATGTCTTTCACCATGCACTAAACTAAAGTCAAAATGGATCACAGATCTAAATATTAAGACAGAAACACTAAATTTACTGTAAGAGAAAGTAGGTAAAAAATGTTGAAGACATAGAGGTCGGCAGCGAATTCATGAACAGAAACAAAACTGCATGGGAAATACTTCAAAGAATCAATAACTGGGACCCCATTTTATTGAAAAGTTTTTGCACACCTAAAGAAATCACTAACAGAGTAAAAAGAAAATCCACTAATTGGGAAAAAATTTTAGCCAACTGTGGGTCAGATAAAGGACTTCTATCTAGAACACACAAAGAATTTTAAAAATCAGACCTCCAAAATTCAAAGACCCAATTGAAAAATGGCATCCTTATCCTACACACTTCACAAATGAAGAAATACAAATGGCAAATAAATACATGAAAAAATATTCAACATGATTGGTCATTAGAGAAATGCAAATTAAAACAACACTGAGATTCCATCTAAACCCAGGAAGAATGGCTATCATTAAGAAATCAACCAATAACAAATGCTGGAGAGGCTGTGGGGAAGAAGGAACACTTCTCCAATGCTGGTGGGAGTGTAGATTGGTGAAACCACTGTGGAAATCCGTGTCGAGATTCCTCACAAAACTAGAATTAGAGGTCTCACTCAACCCAGCTACTCCTCTTCTGGGTATTTTCCCAGAAGAATCAAAAACATTATACCACAGTGATATATGTGTACCTATGTCTATAGCAGCATAATTTGTCATAGGTAAATCTGGAAAACAACCCAAATGCCCATCAACTGAGGAATAGATAAAAAAAGATGTGGCATTTTTAAAAAATAGATTATTACCCAGCTATAAAGAAAGATAAACTCAATGTTTTCTAGGTAAATGGATGCAACTAGAGACCATACTCATAAGTGAAACAAATCAGACCCACATGTGTAAATACCATATTGTCTCCCTAGAGTAAGAACCTAAGACAGTAAATAAACCCAAAATGTACAATAGATATTATGAAAGGGAAAGAAATTGCTCAAAGGAAGGAACAACTGGGATGAGGGAAAGGAGAAAAAGAAATATATATATGGATAGCTGGGATAGCTGTACTGCTGATGACTAATGCTTTATTGAAATGCTTAATTTTTTGACCAGTTTTGCATGCTTACATTTGGTAATCTGAGCAACTAATTTGAAGACAACAGTATGTTGATAACAATCAATGGTGAATTTCTACCATCTTGTCTAGTGAAACTCTGTATAGTTTATAAATTTTTTTCTTTTTATTTTTATTCTCTTTAATGGTTTGACCAGTCTTGCATTCTTACATATGGTAATCTGAATAACTTTGTTGAAGATAACAATATGTAATATAACAACCACTATTAATTCCTATCATTTTGTTCTCAAACCCCGTATCATTTTTGTTGTTTTTGCTTTGTTTTGATTCGTCTATGTTGTTGATATTCTGCTACTGTTTTTTAAATCTCTTTAAAATAAAAAAGAAATAAAATAAGTAGTTTACGTTGTTGACATTAACACCATAACACTAACCAAAAAATTGCTTCATCCTATCCTATCAAGTCAACTCCTTCAAAAGGAATTACCTTTTCATTTCAGTTGCTAAACTAATAAACACATGTTTTTTTTATTCCTTTCACAAGCCATGATTGTAAGTGAAAGGGCAAAAATGAAGATGGCTTACATCCCAAATTCTATGAGGTCAGCATCTTGTTGGAGACAAAAAGACATTCACAGAAATGTTCAGGAGCACCATGGAGGCTGATTTCTATTATTTCAAAGTTGTTAAGATGTATTTTATGTCCTAGAATGTGGTATATCTTAGTGAGTGCTCCATGTGAGTTGCTAGTGTTGGATGAAGTAATAGACAGATACAATTATACCCAGTTGATTCCTGGTACTGTAGAGTTCAGTGGTGTCCTTACTAATTTTCTGCCTGCTGAAGCTGTCTCTACTGTTCCCTGGCCTCTAACTCCAGAGGCAACACCCAAAACTCTGCTTATTAAGTGTGTTTTTCCTTGCTACTCCCTTTCAGGCTAGTTGGGAAATGCCAACAGAAGAAGGGTGTAGAATTGTGGAGTGTCTTATATTAGAATGTCCCACACCGGCCAAAATAATGGGTTTTTATGCTCCTACCTCCCTCAGTAGGAGGGTTTTCATGCTCCTGCCTCCCTTGGTAGGAGGTCCTCTACCATGGGTTTTTATGCTCCTACCTCCTTCAGTAGGAGGTCCTCTACCAGACAGAGGAGAGTTGAGACTTCAGGCATAGCATATCTGTGCAGCTGAGACAGATCCTGACAGTGTAGTGACTGGAGCTATGCATTCATCGCAGGCCACACCCATCAGCCTCCTTAGAGGATAACCTGGGCAGGAAATCTGCCTGCCACATCGTGTCTCTAACACACTTCCTGGAACAGAGTATACTTTCAGTGTTTAATTTTTTTATTACAAACAGAAAACCTAACCATAATGATTTATTACATTTTCTTTATAAAACAAACAGTCTAGAAGAGGTTACTTTT